AAGCAATGTTGTACGCACGAAGGAACGTTGACTCCAGCGACTAGGGCGTGGCAGCATCCGTCCTTTTATCTCCAAACTTGCTTCTAATCAGCCCCAGCTGCATAATGAATCTTGTATCCCAAAAAGACTCACAGCAGACATCTGCTGAGTCACAACAGGTACTGCTCCACTTATGACCACAAGTGAGCCCAGAATTTATGTTGCTAAATGAGATATTTGTTCAGTGAGATTTGGCCCATTTTACGACCTTCCTTGCCACAGTTGTTAAGTGAATCATTGCAGTTATTAAGTTAGCAACCTGGTTAAGTGAATCCGGCTTCCCCATTGACTTTGCTGGTCAGAAGGTCGCAAAAGGGAATCATCTCACCCTGGGACTGCAACTGTCATAAATATGAACCAATTGCCAAGCATCTTCCTTTTGATCGAGTGACCAGGAGGATTCTGCAACAGTCATAAATGTGGGAAACGATCATAAGTCACTTTTTTCAGTGCTGTTGTAACACTGAACAGACACTAAATGAACTGTTGTAAGTTAAGGACTACTTGTACTTGGTAAGGGCAATTTGCTAGCCTCATCTTATTTTTTAGCAAGTTGCACAATCATTTTTTATGACCTCCAAGTACCTTCCCCAAGTTAGTTTTAAGAATATTACTGGCTCCTCCGTTTGGGGTATATTCAGGGGTGAAATTCAGCAGGTTCTGACAGGTTCTGGACAACCAGTAGCGGAAATTTTGAGTAGTTTGGAGAACCGGCAAATACTACTTCTGGCTGGCCCGGGGGGGAGGGGGGAATGGGGATTTTGCAGTATCCTTCCCACAGGAGTAGAGAGGGAGTGCGGATTTTGCAGTATCCTTTCCCTGGAGTGGAGAGGGAATGGGGATTTTGGAGTATCCTTCCCACAGGAGTAGGGAGGGAGTGGGGATTTTGCAATATCCTTTCCCTGGAGTGGGGAGGGAATGGGGATTTTACAATGTCCTTCCTCCAGGAATAGGGAAGGAATGGGGATTTTGCAGGATCCTTCCCCTGCCACGCCCACCAAGCCACAACCACAGAACCGCTAGTAAAAAAAATTTGAATTTCACCACAGGGTATATTGCCCAAGATACATTTGTATCTAATGCTGTTTGACATACCTACAAACAACAGCTTTCCAAGAATTATTGCAGAAGGAAGAAGTGAATCTAGGATTATAAGTTTGGGTGCCACATGTTGTCGGCTAATTGTCTGGTGTTTTTGTCAAATTGCTTAGGAAAATAACAACCCCAGTTTTTTTTCATTGTCATCATGAGAAAATACACACACACACACACACACAGCAAACATTACAGAAGAATCTTGTCTGAAAGAATAATGGAAGACAAGTACGAATAACTAAAGATGACAGAGGTCAGTGCTGTGAGATGAATTTTCTGCAATGGGTGGATGGGAATTAGAGGTCAGAAAAGTTTTCTCCAGTCCTATTTTTGCTTCCAGGTATTTACTATATTTTTGTGTGTGCCATATTGAATACAACCTGTCCACCTGGAACCCACACTGTATATCGGAGATTAATACAATTGAGCAGGTTCAGAGGTATTTCTGGAGAAGAGTACTCCACTCCTCTACTCAACAAGAGAATCCCTTATGCCACCAGGCTTGAAATTTGGGGCTTGTACTATCTGGAATCACACCACCTGTGGTCCGATCTAAACATAGTACACAAAATTGTTTGCTACATCTTGCCTGTCATTGCTTCTTCAGCTTCAACCACAATAATACACGGGCAAACAATCAATACAAACTGAAGGTAAACCACTCCAAACTCGATTGCAGAAAATACGACTTCAGCAACAGAGTGGCAGAGTGGTCAATGCCTGGAATGCTCTACCTGACTCCGTTGTTACAGCCTCAAACCCTCATAGCTTCAATCTCAAAATGTCTACTGTGGACCTCACCCCAGTCTTAAGAGGTCCACAAAGAGGGCGTGCATAAGTGCACCAGTGTGCCTACCATCCCTGAATTACTATCCCCATTTATCTGTATTTACTTCTTTTGGTCATGTTTATGTTCATACCTATACTTATTATCTTATACATGATAGATAGATAGATAGATAGATAGATAGATAGATAGATAGATAGATAGATAGATNTTAGAACAATTAATCAGTGGAACAGAAGTTGCCTCCAGAAGTTCTGAATGCTCCAACACTGGAAGTCTTGCCATTTGACTGAAACGGTATAGAGTTTCCTGTCTAGGCAGGGGGTTGGACTAGAAGACCTCCAAGGTCCCTTCCAACTCTGCTATTGTATTGCATTGTATTGCAAAGGGAAGTGATGGCGAACCTTTTTTCCCTCGGTTGCCGAAAGCAGGTGTGCCGACACCCATCATGCAATTGCCCTCACCTGAGAGAGACAGGTGAGATGGATAGATAGGCTAGAGAGAAAGAGATGAGGCAGACAGATAGGAGAGATAGATAGGAGAGAAAGAGACAGAAGAGATGGAGAGATAGGGGAGAAAGAAAAGCAGAGGGGAGAGATGGACAGAGGGGAGAAAGACTGGGAGAATGAGAGAACAGATGATAGGAATGATGGACAGATAGGAAGAGAGAGAAACAGATGAGACAGAAAGGAGGGAAAGAGAGAGAGAGAGAAAAAGAAAGAAAGAAAATCACATAGAAGCTAATAATACTGACGTCTCCTTTTGCTTTTCTTTCCTCTTCAAGATGACATGTTTGACCTCCCATTCCCAGATGACATGGACAATGACATTGGCATCCTGATGACTGGGAACCTTCACTCCTCCCCAAACTCTTCCCCTGTCCCGTCCCCTGGTTCTCCCGGAATTGGGGTAGGACCATCCTTTCAGCACAGCCGGGTAAGTACTCAGGATTTCCCTGTGCCACTTTGTGGAGTGGTGCGGTGGCCTAGAGGTGGCGCTCTCGTCTCACAATCAGGAGGCTGTGAGTTGAATCCTAGCTAGAGGCAGATATTTCTCTCTCTGGGCATAATGAGAATAGATCTGCTGAACAAAACTCCGCCCTGGCGACAGGGAAGAGCATCCGGCCAGTAAACACTCAGCTCCATTCCGTTGCCCAGATTCCACCCCACAAGGGATTGTGGGGCCATTAAAAGAGGATGATGACTCTGGCAGATTTATGTTCAGAGATACGCAATAGTTGCAGCTCCTGAAAAACTGATGGTTCCCCCCTCCCCCCCATATTTTATGGGGAAGGGAGCAGAAGATATCAGCAAGCATGACCAAGACTCTTCTTTAAATATAAACAAATTAATTAATTAATTAATTGCTCCTCCTAAATGCATGGCAAATGGTCCTAAGTTCCTTTTTTCAGAACCGTTGTAACTTTGAACGGTCACTAAATGAACACACGTTGTAAATCAAGGACTGCCTGCAAAGGGACTCCTGGTTATTTCCATTTTTAGTCCTGACCATTCTTGACGCGGTGTCTCAGTGGCTAAGACGCTGCATTTGTCGATCAGAAAGGTCGGCAGGTCGGCGGTTCAAATCCCTAGTGCCGCCTAACGGAGTGAGCTCCCATTACTTGTCCCAGCTTCTGCTAATCTAGTAGTTCGAAAGCATGTAAAAATGCAAGTAGAAAAATAGAAAACCATCTTTGGTGGGAAG